GTAAACATATAAAAATGAAAGTATTAGAAAAATAAAAAATATTTTGAAAAAGTCACTATTGTAATCTGAGCTACCAATTCCAGGTATGGTATTTGACCCTCGTGTTTAAGATTATATCTCGCGCGGCCGGTCGCGGTGATTTCTCTAGGAAACTACTACAATATAATTAAGTAAACCTAACATATGAAATAATTTTTAAGTATTCCACTGAATCCAGTAGTCAATAAAAATGTACAACTAAGGCGCGCGTGGTACGCATTTACTGACGAACATTTATTCAAATTATACACTGTGTAAAGTATACACTAATCACAGAAAAAATAAAAACTAAACTTTAACTTTATTTTACTTCAAAAAAAAAACTTCACCATTTTATTTTCTGAAATACAAAACTATAATAGAATTATTATATGATGATCTAAAAGATAGATCCGAAAAACCACTGAAAAATCATTCAAAGGGTGTGAGTCATAACCTAACCTGGCCAAAACTGTGTTTAAAAAATCAAAGTATTTTGTTGACATATATCAATATATGTCAACATTAAATTGTCTCTTATATCTTACATTGTGTGAATGACAGAATCAATATTATAATACGTCCGTTAGCATGCTTATCATTAAAAAGTAATACAATATAGATAATAACTATTAAAAAAGCATTGAAATATCGTTATTTGTTACTTAATATTTATTGACATACTCACATTAAGTAACTAAACCTAACCAAATATCGTTAAATGAGCAGTACAGCCATTTATTTTTGTATATGTGTGTCGTAAGGTACAGATGAAGCGAAAAGTTCAAATTCCATTATACAAATCTGTAGCTTGGGTCTAAAAGGGCCAATGTCAATTTTGGGCATAAACGAGTTAGTCCGCTAAATGGAAAAATTGAAACATCCTTTATATACTGTGAAAAAATCACACTCCGAGGCCAAAAAATGAATTACTCGTGAAGAGTTTGGTAAAAAAAAATAACATAGAGCCTAATGGAAAATAAAAACTTTAAAGCTCATTTTGCGAAAGTTGCAAAAAGTGAGATTGGCCCTTTTAGACCCAAGCCACAGAAATATTTATAGGAGTTTCTTACGACACTGCAAAAATGTTTAACGATGAATGCATTCCATATGAATAATTGGACGAAGGCCCTCGAAACGAACGTTATACGCCAATGTCGCTAATATTAACATATTATGTACGTATTCCGTTTTACACACATTAAGTGCCTTGCATATAGCGTAATACTATAAATTAATATTCTAATAATTAATGTTACCAAATAAAAATTTTTAAAATAATATAATATTTACTATACAATACAGGATATTTCAATATAATTAAATATATAATAACAACAATAGTATGAAACTATTGTGCGAGGAAACGGTAGCCAACGTTTATTACCAAACACGCGGCCGGATCAATGCAATAACCCAAAGGCAACTAAGTTGGTACACTGCTAATGGCCAAAAATTAATACTATTCCAGCGATACCAAAACCGCTTTGACCCTCACGCAGTTGTAATATGTACTTTAAACGTAGCCACGAAGCAAGTTCAGCAACCCATACATCTCACCCAAACAACCCCCTCTGGTTTAATAATATTATTATCATTATAAAAGTGACAATTTCTGTTCTCGGTGCTCTGTCGTTTTGTCAAATAATTATATTTGCGCTTTCATTAGTGTACTTGAGATATCTTAATTAAATTATACTGTTAAATCTTGGACTTATTTAGGTCCTTTAATATCGCTCGTAATATTACACGTCTTGTCGTCCGGGTTACAAGTTAGAACTACCAAGTTGGCGAAAATACTAAAAGATTAGTGAGGAACAAATCAATATAAATACGAACACTACTTAGTGTCTTCAAGTATTTCTTAACAGTACATTACTGTCCGCTTTTTGATAAAACGTTACAAAAACATGCAACTCATGATTAATAGGAGGTAGACAGCAGCAGTTAGCCGGCCATTAGTTCTAATACAGCGTTAAATTTTGTCTAAAAATAAAACTGTGACGAGGTACTTAAATTTGCGGTAAATATCTAGGTAGTTTAAAGATTTTTGTTAAAAATATCGCCTACAGGTAAAAAAACTAAAATATCTATAAGATGAGAATATAAACTACCAAGTTATGTAAAAAAAAATGAATGAATGTTAGAATGTTTTCTACCACGTCGCAATTCGATGACGACAGTATATTTTGTTTCAAGATTGCTTGTGTTTACCTAAAGAACCAAAAGCCTTTTTTAGCTATGTATTGTTTTTGTTTTTATAATCATGTGTTTTTCTCAGTCTGTTGTATGCGCTGATGATGGTAACACATTGCTGCCGAAATACGCTTTAGAGTATAATTTTAATGGTTAAGGGTTTATTTAAATATTCAATTATTTTATTTCTTTACTATATAATTACCACAAGTGTAGCTTTTTCTTTTTTTATTAATTCTTTTTTTTTAATTATGTTGTTTTTTCTGTGTATTTTTATTTATTTATTATTTATTCTTTCGTGTGTGTGTCTGGACTCGCGATATCTTTTAAACCGTTGGCCGATTTCTTAATGTAGCAAGACTATAGATCGTGGGTATACCAAAAAAATATCATAAACCTTTTACTCTAGAAGGGGTAGAAACTTTATCGAACGAAGTGTTAGGTAAATGAAGTGTCTAGGTTCTGTAAACTAAAGGTAGTTATTGAGTGGAGCTATAACATATTATACGATTTTCTTAAAAATTAGTCTATTTTTTTTTTTTTACTAAGGAAAACCCCCGAAAAAGGGGAAAATAACACTTTGACACGTATACATTTCTAAGTATGTGTGAATCAACAGTCTATTTCGATTTAAATATATTTTCATTAAATTAGTAAATATGATATATAAGTAACAACAGAACCAATTCATAATAGACTGGAGACGATCAACACTAATGGTATATCCTAATATCCAAAATATAATTATATGGATATTCTAGCTTTAACAATACTTTTATCGATTTTTGTACTTCTACCATCTACAGATTCGCATCAAAGCGTTTATTTAATGTGATATTATGTTATCTAAGCCATTCGATTAAAAAATTAATTAATTAACCGGCCATTAGCGGAATGATTTAGAAGCAGTCCGCTGTGAATACAGTTTGTGGTTAAAAAAAAACACAGCTAATAATAAAAACGTTGCAACTACCATTTTATAAAATTAAATGTCGACAAAAATTAAAAAAATTACTCTTAATGGGTCAACGAAAACTTACCACGAACCCAGTGTTTTTTAGACTCCGTTGAAAGCTTTAATTTAAAATTACAATTTTTTTTTGTCTTATTTTACGATATTTTTTTAACTGTATGGGATAGATTTTTTTCTTCATAATAAAAACAGTCAATAGACCAAAAATTGTTTACTAAAGGTATTTTAAAAAAATAATGATAAAAGAACCCATGCTCGTAAAAATCGCGCAAACACTAGTGGAACAATAGTTTTTTCTTTAAAGATCTGCATAGAGACTTTTTCTTTTAAATTATTTTGATACTCACGCATAATACAACCCTCGCCTTACTAGTCATCACCTTATTTTTATGCCGCGACTTTTTTATTTAATATTTAGGTTTCGGTTGAACTCGATATCTCATAAGGAAACGATATCCTGATAGATTTGAAATTGGAGAGCGTCCGAATTCAAAAAAATAAAACCACTTTTATAAATTTGCCAATAAATAAACCCACCCTTAAGAACTTTGAATCTGCTAAGTGTGCGAAATTAAAAAAGCCGTCTCAGATTAATTAAAACTAAGAAATTTGCCCCGATGATTAATATTGATTCAATTTTATTAAATTACTATTAATTATAATAGTAATTAATTATAAATATAACTATTTACTATAAATACCAATGAAAACTATCGAGAACTCAGCGAGTGAACAAAGCCTATTTTCCCACGCATTTCATAACGACCGTGTGTTTACAATAATACACGGCTTATTAGCATATCATAAGTAATAAGATAAATGTATACAGTATTATTGTTATTATTGCACGTAGTATTAATAAGAATCGGGCGGACGGGCTTTTAAATAAAACAATATATCCGTCCGCCGGTCGAAAATTTATTTTCAAAAATTATGTGTTGTTTAATCTTTTATTTATTACGAGAGGCGTTTGGGAAGTGTAAAACTATTCTAGTCATTTGCTGCTCTTCGATTGGTGAAAATCGCATGGACAAGGTCGAGCCGGAAGAAAACAAAATGGATTTTAAGAAGATGAAATGCCGTCGAGTTAGTTTCGATCGGCGATCGCGTCTCAAATATTTTTTGAAATCAGTGAGGAAAACAGTGAGGGTGAAACGATCGTCAAGTTTTATATTACAATAAACATAACTACTATCAACCATAACATAATACCTACTACTGGACTTACGCGTGCCGTAAATATAACTTGATGATAAATAAATTAGGTTCATAATAATAATATCGTAACAATAGCAAAAGCGATATTTTCTTAAACATTTATAAATGACCGTTATTATTTTAAGCCTATAGTTGCTATATGAGTATTGTCGCAATGATAATAATCAATAAACATAAAAAAAAACATCTTTAACCAGTAAAATATTTTATGATTTTTTTTACGGATATACCAAGTTAATATAATATTATAATAAGTAATAATAATTATTCTTCTAAGTGTATTATGAATGTGCGCTTTAAATTCCAGCTGATCGGAACGGACAACGTGCCGTCGCCGTAAAAGGCTGGCGACCAGTGCGCATGACCGGGACCGTCGTACGGCGGACGTGTATTAATCATATGCGACCGACGACGGTACGGCTTACGCACGGCGCGCGGCCGCGGTGATGTGCCCTGTGGTCGCCGCATCAGATTTCCCGGGAAACGACAAACGTATAAAATAAAATAATAACTATTCACATCGAATATTTTCGACGTGCCGATAGGGAAAAACGTCGCCAAACACAATGCAAAAACAAATAAAAACGGTACTCACAACATGGATGACGAGGCGCTGTAGGGTTGTTCGGGCGGACGGCTGCTCGGTCACGGAACGGCCGACGCCATTTTCAGTGGATCGTTTGCCGTGTATACGGGTGATGGCTGAGCGGTGAAGCGCGGGGTGAACGCTGGCGAGACTGACGCGTACGGTCGGAACCTCACAACGCGGCAACCAAATGTTTAATAACCGAACCGAACGACGGCCGCCGGTTTCGGGCCCTCCGCCGAGGCTAGCGCACGATAATTATGCGTCCACAGTGCTGCCACCGGCGAACTCCTTACCGTGCTCGTACACACAACGTCTGTGTACCATACGGCAAAACAATAACGTGTGCAGCGACTTTATCGCGGCACGGTAGTAAATTTTATTGTGCAATTATTATTATTATTATGTAGACGTTAAAAGTACAACAATTATTACACTATCGTTATCGCCCCGTTCAGTATTATTTATTAACATGTTATGATCGTTCGAGTTGACGGATCGTATAATATGGAATATTTAACAGTGTTTTAGGAAACATTACGTACCACTGCGTACCTTATCCAGCCTCCTCTCCGCCAAGTGTACGTGCACGATAAAACGAGTAAACGACCCAATGCCACCAGAACGATCATTATAATATGATAGGTACGCTCAGCTGAATATACTGTACTCTATACCGAACGAAAGCGAAAGGAAGAGATAAACAAAAATATATTATTTTTCAAATGGCATAGTACCTACCTATACCCAAAGATACCGGTCACTGAGCGGCTGCTGGTGCCCTATATACGATACATACGAGGCATCACAGTACAAACACGATTTCAATCAACTGAACCTACATACCATTATTTACCTGAGGCTTAATTATTGTTTGGAAATGAAAGAGATGTCGCCTAGGTTATGTTCGGACTTCGGTTTATTAAAGACCCAACTCAAGAATTCCTCTTAAAACATAGGCATACCTAGGCATTATTTAATTTTTGATTCAAATACAAATTCGAATAATTATAAAAATACAAATGTATTTTAGTTAAAATTTAAATAATAACTACACATTTTTTTTTTCAAACAAAAATTCTAAATTTTAATATCAAGAAGATTTGTATTTTGTTGAATTAGAATAACAAATGAAACATTATTTAAATAAAGTTTAAAATATTGTAAAATAGTTAAGTTTTGGTTGACGGACAATTTTAGACATTATTTTATTAATTATTTTTTAAAATAATATAATATAATATATTTTACAAAAATATTTATTAAACTTTTCAATCAATAAAAAATGTATTTTAATCACTAATAGGGGTTTAACTGTAATATTTATACTTAATTCAAATCCTGTAAATGTAAGTAATCATAACAGAATAAGAGATGGATTTCTATTTTTTCGAGGGTAGGACCTACAATAATTTATAATTGTACTTTACTTCTAAAAGTTCATAGAGTAGGCGAATAGAAATTAGGATCTGAAAAAAAAATCTGAAGAAAATAATGTCAGTAAGATGGTGTCCGTTCCTCTGTATGCATTCCTTGAATCGCGTGTGGTGGTTTTGCACGACTGTAACATCTCGGCGTGTGATTTTTTCTTGTGCACTTGCCCAACAACACTTCTTCAATTGAAGACAAGAATCCAAGAAGAATTGCTTTGATTCCCATTTATAATACTTGTATTTTAAAAATTAGTGTATATATGTATATTCTTTATAGGCGTCCAAACGGCTGCACTTATTTTGTCAAAAAATTTAATTTTGGCACATAATATTGTATTATATTTTGGATCTTGGAAAATGCACACGTAGGGCGGAAATAAGGTGCTCCGGAGAACACCCTATTACTGAAAATGTCTTCAAAATATCCAGCAGTTTTAATGAGTTGCAAAAAGTAGGACTAAAATAAGTCTGCCAAGATAGAAGAAAATAATTATCGTTCAATATATCGTGGTGATAAGATATCAATGATAACAGTATTTTGAAAAAATATTTTTTTTAATTTAATAAAATATATTAAATGTATTATTATTAATTTTTATATAAGGTATATAAGTTTTAACTATTTATTAGTATTAATTTACAACAATGCCTAGTTGTTTTATTTGTCAATAGAGACTTTTTTTTTTCCTTTATGTGGTCATATTAGTTTTTACTTCGCTCTTGCATACAAGCTAGTATATGTTAGTTCATCTCTTAATATTATTAATCTATGATCTAAGCTGACACGGTGCTATCGATCCGTTTAGTATTTACTACGTAATATACATTTTTCTTGAATTAGTTGAAGATTAATTTTTTCTTATGGCTAAAAATAGAAAAAAAAAATTGAATAATCGATTGCCCTCCGGGCATAACCGACTAAAAATATTGAAGATTACTTATATCATATAAGTGCGGTAGTGCGCAGAAACCGAAACGCATTACTCTTGTATGAGCCTGCGCATCCAGAATTTACGCGTTTTGGTTTTTACGCAGTATCGTTCTTATTTGGGATAGAATATAGTTTTTCGTAATGTTCTTTGTGTGTTACAGTTTCTTATAATCCCCAGAAAATGTTAATAATAAAACCAAATTTAAAAAACATTGGTTTTGACAAACCATTTGTATTAATACAAAGACATGCCTAATGAATCTTTGAAAAAAAAACCGTTGTAATTATTTGACACGTCATTTAATAATAGCGTTCTGAAATGAAAAGCGAGATAAGCTGTTAATATTTTTAGAGTGTTCTCTCGATGAGACAATGTTTGGATTTTATTCTCATGAATTGTATGGTTAGTATTTAGTTCTATTGGAAAAAAATTGGTCGAGCGAGTCTTGAGCTGTGGTGCAAATATTATATTTAAAAAAATAATACACAAACATACGTCATAATTTATAATAAAACCGACATCATAAGTATAATAATATTATTATCTTCTCAGACGTTCTTATCGAAATTAAAATACTTGTTTACCTAATAACTATTTTCTTTATACAAAAAACATAATATGCCATCTATTATGTTATGCCGATGATCATCTGTATACTATCTATATATTATCTGTATGTTTTCATAGACTAATATTATACGGTCGTGTTTAACCGTTATTGTATTTTCGTAGTCCATTTATCGTGGTGCGTTGTACCTACACGTTGTATGAGATTACTAAATGACAGCGATGCGAGTACAGGGAAGACTTATATTTCAAGAGGGGAATGGGAAGGGGAAAGGCTTGGCACTAACCCATCTACCCCCTCTCGTGGCCCGTGCGGTATCGTATATCTCACGGCATACGCCTAACCTGCTATAGTTTTTATTTCCCAACAGAAAACAGTGCAACAATACAACACGGCCGTTTTCGATTGTCTGCAACAAATAATGCAGTTTTCTTCCATTTCCATACAAAAGTCTACATCCAATGCACTCCACGTGAGTCGTGGTAGACTAGACCTCGTCGAAACGAATCGGATATTATAATATTAGATAGGTATAATATTCTGGGTATATTTTCTATAGGATATCATTTTATCTAAAAAGTAAAATATTGATCATTATTTTTATAGACGCTAAGACGCTACCCACCCATTTATTAAGGAGTAAATATCCTAAGTAAGTATTATGGGCAATTTATCACCAGTTCCTATTTTAGTTAGTAATATATACGTACTATACCATTTTTCGTATACTTATTAATATTATTATTAGGTTTTATTTGTTTTGTCTATCATATTCCTATCTTTTAAAAAAAACTATAATATTTTTTTCTAAAAATAATTTTGCGCAAATCTAAACCAATGTGAATTGAAATTATTATAAAATCGCCAAATTTTCACAGTAAATAGCAGACAAAATTATCTGTGTTTAAGCGTTTTGTTAATTATTCAGTTTACTAATTCTCAATAATTTATTAAAAAATACTAATAAAAAAACCTAAAATTGAAAATTGTATAGATCAAAAATCATTAGGTCTATCAAGAAATTGTCATACGTAAACATGGAGAATATTTTCCTCTATTATTCGATGAAAATTCGGTAAATTAGTAGTGTTACAACTTTTATAGGTAGTAGGTATTCATTTGAGTAAACTAATTTCACACTATAAATTACGGGCGGGAAGACGTTTTTTGCCCACGGATATCAACAAAAAATAATTGAGGTAATTTCTTTAATTTTATATTTTTTGTCTTATATCCATAAGACCATATATCCATAATTTACTCTTTTCGAGTACTATTTGATTTTTCTTTGCCCTTTGCAGTTTTTTGGCGATAAGAAAATTATACTTGTCATCAAATGAAATCGATAACGTCATTGTCACAAATGTACATAATTCTCTATGGTCAGTAGTTTGCATTCTTGGCCTAGTATATTTTTTTCTGGTAATAGCTAAAGGGCCAATCAGGTGCCAGACTTTTTCTATGTCAAAACAAACAATATTATTATACTAATAATAGTGTCTTATCAATAAAAACAGTTTCTGATTTAGTGTTGTAAATTATGTAGTATGTACATTACAAATTCACATAGTGTTTTAATAGAACTATAATTAGTATATAATTAGCTGTCACACACAATACTCGCCAGTGGGCGCGCATTGTCATATATCACAGCTTTTCAGAGGACATTTTTATAAGCATATCTATGAACTAAATGCTTAAATATTTTTGAATTGATTCATTGGTAACTTACAATCAAAAAAAGTAAACTATGAGTTCATCGGTTCTATACATTTAACTACCAACTATATATACTATTTAAGCTAACAATAATTTTTAAAACAATACCAGCCTAAAGCGAATGTACTCTACTTAATCCAAAACAAAATATTTCATACAATTATAAATAATCAGGCAACATTAGGTCTCAATTGTAAATATTATGCATATACTTATTAGTTATAAACTGCTTTAATGAAACTATCAATACGAAATTTAAGTGGTGTTAAAACAGTACCATAGGATACTTATAATTTGATTGATTGAGCTATTATAATATAATAAATATTATACAATTACAATATCGTATTATTATTATTACTATTATTACTTTATAACCTTAATACACCTTAATATATATTTAACCATTCAGTTAATACTTAATTTAGATTTAATACCACATTTTAAAATGTTATTGCATCTACCTTGTGGGAGTTACTAATTATATTATTCATAGCTGCTGTATTTTGTTATCAAACTAAAAAGGAAAAAATGTTTGGACGTGTT